GCATCCCAGGGCTTGTCTTGTGATTGCACCTGAAGAAAAGGCAGCTCGGACAGCCATAGAAACCCACTTTTGAAACAGCCTGAGTCCACATGGGTCAGGCACCAGCTGTAGAACCGAGAATTCTCTGAATCAACTTCCGGGTAGGATGCAATGTTAATCTGTAATAAAAATATGCTAGTTTGAAACTTACATTAATTTATATAAAATTATAACTCATCAGTAATCATCATGAATTATTTAGACCTTTGATCAACAAAATACTTTTTTTTAGAGAGGAGGATTTTATTCCTGATCTCTTTAAGAATTGCTGGACCATGATAATAAAAAGCAGAAAACTTTTATCAGGATTTTCTACAGACAATGCCCCCAAGGACCTGCCCTTGGTAGATCACTGACTCGCAAGGTGGTTATGAGGATTAAATGAATTAAAACAATTAAAGCACTTAGAAGAGGGCTTGATATTAGCTATTACTGGTTTTTCTACAACATATAAATCCCACTGCTAAAAGAGTCCACGGGTATTTGATGAGGACTGCTGATGAGCCTCAAAAATCCTTATATTAAGAAGGTGGAAATAGGCCAGGCACAGTGGCTCATGCCTGTAATCTCAGCACTTTAGGTGACTGAGGTGGGTGGATCACTTGAAGTCAGGAGTTCAAGACCAGCCTAACCAACATGGTGAAACTCCTTCTCTACTAAAAATACAAAATTAGCCAGGCGTGGTGGTGCACTCCTGTAATCCCAGCTACTCAAGCATGAGCCACTGTGCCTGGGAAGTTTATTTATTTTTATTGTTTGTATGGTATTGTATTATATGACTATACTTCAATTTATTTATCCATTCTACAGTTCATGAACACTGGAGTTGTTCCAGATTTGGGCTAATAGGAACATTATGTTAGTTGCATTTCCTTGGTTACTAACAGGGTTGGGCATCCTTCATATGTCTGTTGGCTATTTGGATTCCCTTTTTCTGAAACGCATATCAGGGTTTTTGGGGGCCCATTTTTCTATGTTTTGTTTATTCCTTACCGATTTATAGACATTCTTTATGTAGTTTGAGCTCTCTGTCAGTTTTATGTGCCCCTACTATTTTCTTCCACTCTGTGGCTTGCCTTCTTGCTCTCTTAATGCTGTCTTTTGATGAACAAAATTCTTATATTTAATGTACTCAAATTTATCAGTTTTGTTTAACCTTCTAAAAGCTTTTTTTTTTCTTGATTTTTTCACTTGCTTTTCACATATACTGTGCCTGGAATTGAATTTTGTATATGGTTTGCGGTAGGGGCCTCATTTCATGTTTTCCTTGTGGATACTCAATTGTCCCAGCCACATACATTTTTAAAATAGTTTTCTCTCTATCCTCCTTCAATTTTATGTTTGTCATGAATCAAGTGTCCATATACATCTGGTTCTCTTTAAGAACACTCTACCCTATTCCATTAATCTATTATCTGTGCTTGAACAAATGCTAGGCTGCTTTAATTAATGTAGTGTTATTTTAAGTCTTGATACCGGGCAGAGGAAATCCACTCTCTTCTTTGTTTTTCAGGAATAGCTTAACTACTTTTGGTCTTTTCATTTCCATATACATTTTAGAATCTGCTTGTTGGGATTTCAGTTGGGACTACGGTAAATCTATACACCAAGTTCATGTAGGATTGGTATTTTTATGACATTGAATCTTTCAGTGCATGAATACGGTGTTGTTTCTCTTTTATTTAGGTCTTCCTTAAGAAAAATTTACAGTTTTCTGCATACAGGTCTTGAAATGTTTTGTTAGATTTATTCCTAGGTACTTGATATTCCTTTCAACACAAATGTAAGTGATATATTTTTCTTTTAAATTAATATTCTAGCTGTTTGTTACTAACAGAAAAATGTAGTTGATTGTTGTATATTGAGTAGCCTTGTAAAACTCATAATTTCTAATATCTTATTCTGTTTTCTATGTAGTCAATCATTATCTTCAAAATAACAATAGTTTTGCTCTTTCCTTTTTAAATCTTTATGCTTTTTAGTATATTTTTCTTGTCTTACTCTATTGGCTGAAACTTCTACTCTAAATGTTGAAGGGAAGTAGTTATTATGGGCATCTTTGTCCTTATCATGATTTCCAGAGGAAAGTATTTAATATTTCATTATTAAGTTTGATGTTTGCTGAAGATTTATTGTAGGTAAACAATATCACATTAATAAGTCCCCTTCTTCTTTCTAGTTTGTTGATAGTGTTTATTTTAAATAATAAATGAGTGTTATGCCTTATAATTGTTTTTTTGCATCTGTGAAACAATCACGTTTTTGCTTTATATTCTCAGTGTGATGAATTACACTGATTGATTTTTTTAACATTAAGCCAGCTTTGTGTCTTTGAGATAAACTAAATTTAGTAATGAAGTATCCTTCTATTTCATATCCCCGGATTCAGACTGCTGTTGTTTAGATTTTTTGCATCTGCAGTCATACATAATATTCATCTTTCATCTCCCTTCTACTATGAATTAAGGTTTCAAGTCTATGTTAGTCTCAAAAATGAGTTGAAGAATATACCTTCTTCCATTTTCTGAGAGTCTAAAAGATTGGCATTATTTCTCACTTAAATATTTTGTGAAATGTATACATGTGCAACTTCATTACCTAAAAAGGGCCATCTTCCAAATTACATTAAAATTTACACAATTACATAAAATGTCAATTGTAATAAATTATAATCATGTAAAATTACAACCACCTAATTAAAAAATTTAAAATTACAAATAGAGAAAAATCACACAAATTACAATTTTACAAAAACTACATAATACATTACAAACTTACATGACAAAACCTTCCCTAAAACAAGCTTTGGAGTCAGACCGTCTCTGTATGGATTTTGGCGCTGAGGACAGGCTGTGCAATCCTGTGCCAATCTCTACACCTCTGAGTTCTCAATGTCCTTATCTACCATGTGGGTTTGCTAATGGTCCCTCCATCTCTTTCAGATGTCAGGAGGAGTAAATGAAACAGTGATATGGAAATCAATTCGCCCTGAGCTCGGTCTATAAAAGATCTTTAATATTTGGTAACAACATTCATGATTATATGTTAATAATTTAATTATTCACTCAAGTGTTTATTGAGCATCTATTGTGGGGCCAGGCACACTGGATACTGGGGAAGCAACGGGAGGCAAAATTGGATGTGGCCTTTCACGCACCTGGAGCAAGGATTCAGCATTTGTTCCCGCAGATCCATGACCCACCCCCACTGAAATGAAATGGAGGCCGATGTTTACCGTGCCACCTCTGTGTACCTCTTTAGAGCTCTGCGTACTGCTTTTGTGCCAGATGGGCAAGAATAAATGAAAGCAGCCATTTCTGCTAGGGAGCAATCAGAGCCTAATATTGAGCTCTTTGGAAACCGACTCATAGCAGTCATAGGCAAGGGCCACTTCCTTTAGGAAATGAATGAAGACAACTTGCTTTTCCTAAGCTAGGTTCCCCGTTTGTATTTCTTGACAAGGGCCAAATGTGTCATACAAAGGACTGTTTTCATTGTCCCTGTTTTTCACAGTTTCCTCCAGGCCCCACCAGCTTCTCTGCTGCAGGGAGTTTACCAGGAAACAGGTGCACAAAAGGAAGAACTTGCTGAGGCCCTGGCAAACTGGAAACTCAATCCAGGTGGCCAAGGTCTAACCTTCCCCTACACCAGGTAATTTCTCTCCCTTGCATCTGAGCTTGTGAAATCAATATCAATAGTTCTCAGGTGGTCCATGGCTCCTCCAGTACTTCTGGAAATCTTTGCACCAGTACCTTTTTTTTTTTTTTTTTTTTTTTGCTATACATGGCTTTGATTCTCTGCTACACATTTCTCAAATGGCTTTATGAGGCCTCAGGAATAATACCTATTTCTTGGCTTTGTGTGAGGACTCAGTGAGACATGTCAGGAATGCTGTGATGTCTGGTTGGCAGCGCGGAATAAGGGCTCATTTATTGGACTGCTTGTTGGGTCAGGTGGGGCAGTCTATCTGTAGATATACAGATACACAGATCCATGAACATACAGATGGAGATACAGCTATAGATAGATGCATATGTATACATACATATAGCATATTCACATACATGTATTAGTTCAACATTTTTTCTTTTTTGAGACAGAGTCTCAGTCCGTCACCCAGGCTGGAGTGCAGTGGTGCGATCTCGGCTCACTGCAACTGCAACCTCTGCCTCCTGGGTTCAAGCAATTCTTGTGCCTCAGCCTCTCTAGTAGCTGGAATTACAGATGTGTACCACCACCACGCCTGGCTAGTTTTGTTTTGTTTTGTTTTTTGTTTGTTTGGTTTTTTTGTATTTTTAGTAGAGACAGTGTTTCGCCATGTTGGCTAGACTGGTTTTGAACTCCTGACTTCAAGTGATCTGCCCTCCTTGGCCTCCCAAAGTGCTGGGATTACAGGTGTGAGCCACTGTGTCTGGCCTAATTCAACATTTTAACAAATAATCTAGTGCCTACTATGTGCAATTCACTGTATTCATATTTACATGAGTGGATCAATTATTAGTCCTATTTGTGAAATCCAAAGAAAGAATGTAACATTTGAGTTTATGTAAAAAGTGTTGGAAAAACTGTTTTCCCAAATGAGCTAAGATGGAGCAATGGGACTTTTAGGGGTAGGCTTCACAAGTTACCTGCTAATCATTGATCTCAATGTAGGCTAACCCTGGGCAGTGAGAGATGGCCATTCGAGGGCACCACTGCAGAAGACCTGGCATTCTGCCTCCTTGTGGAGTCAGACTTTGGCCCCCTGCAGTGTTTGCCATTGTGGGGGCATCAGATGCTGATGGGCAGAATGAATGTGGAGGAAGTTGGCTTCACTAGGGCAAGGAATGAATGGCCACCACTGCTTTTGTGCCAAAAGACTGAGCCTCCCTGGGAGAGTGGACAAGAACAGGCTGGAGGAGGGGGTGCCCTTCATCATCTTGTGAGCATCTGGGCCAAGTTCAGGGCTGGTGCTCTCGTTCAGATAGATTTAGCTGGTGGTGCAGAGATCTGTGAGCTTGCTTTTGCAGGACTTTAATGATATATAAAAGCAGCATGAAGTGCTCCTGACTGTGGATTAATTTGGAGATGACTTTCTCTGTTGAAGAGTGGCAAGACTCTTGCAAGTTCTTAAAAATGCACTTGTTTGATATGAGAATGAAAAGCAGTGGCTGAAGAACCAGTCTTCAATGGGCAAGGCTTCTCTGGTAAGTTAAACAAATTCAGGCTGGGATTTAGAGGAATTCGTGCTCGTGTAAGGATTAGGGCATGCCAAAGTAAAAACTCCAGTATGCAAAAGTATTCCTGGGAGGCGATTTAGAAATACAGATACTTGCATTTATTTAACAGATCTGGAGCAGTTACTCTCTGCTGCAAAGGCTGCCACTACAGATGCAAGAGGAAAGGGCCCTCATGATTTCTGTTTGATTGTGGCCACCAAGTTTAAATGCGGGAATGTAGGAATTACAAAAGCATGGAGGAAGGGTGGGAATTTTTGAAACTCACGAATAACCTTGTAAACGGAAGAGCCTGTTTTAACCCCGAAAAAGGAATAAAAGACTTGAGTTTACATGAGAAGTGTTTAAAAAAAAATTTCCCCTATACCCTTGCCTTCTGGTTAATTCCATTTTAAAATTGCAATTTAAAGCTAAATTAAAAGTAAGCCAATGTTGTGGAGGCATGGAGTGGAATACAGGTCCCTGGGCCCCACTTCCCAAGATTTGGATTTAGCTGGTCTGGGATAGGTCCCCAATTCTGAATTTCTAACAAGCTCCCAGGTATGCCGATGCTGCTGGTTGCACATCATACCTGGGGTGGCACTGAGTAGTTTTTTGTTTTAGTTTTCCATTTTTGTTGTCCATCCATGTTAGTTTTCCATTTTTGAAGGTATTGAATAGAGAATGGTTCTCACATTTGGCTGCATTAGAGTTAACTGGGGAGCTTTAAACAAGCCCTAGTATCCTGACTGCATCCCAGACCAACAACAGCAGAAAGTCACCTAAAAGCAAGCTCACGGATCTCTGCACCACCAGCTACATCCATCTGAACGAGAGCACCAGCCCTGAACTTGGCCCAGATGCTCACAAGATGATGAAGGCTATGGGGTTCAGGCATCTGTATTTTTAATAGCTTCCCACATAGTTCAATGTGTAGCCGAGGTGAAGAACTGCTGCTCTGGGAGGAAATTATTTCAGGCAACGGCAACCAAAGGTCTTAGTCATCATGAGGTGTCAGAATCACTTTGGAGACCACGAATATTTTGTAACGCTTCCTGTTCTATCTTGAAATGAAATTCACAGACTGTATAATCTACTTACACGCATCATTAAAAAAAGTTCTTTCTGTAATATAAAGGAGGAACAAAAGAGAAGTTGAAAAAGGTAACTTTTGGTAAACAGACACACGCACACCCACACATACACCCCCCCCCCCACACACACACACATATTCTATAGGTGAATGCTTGGGTACAAGTTCTCTAGAAGACGTAATAAAGTATCCAGGTGTTTGTCCTGTAAGAATGTGATCCCCACAGCCCCAGAGCCAGGCCAAGCCTGGAGCACAGGACCAGTGACTCAGACACCACCGGCTTGGTGTCATGGTGCCGTGGTTTTCCATACTGGTGAAAAACGCTCAGTAAACTTCTGGACACAACAACACACGTTGACTGACTCTGCGTTCCTGCATATTCCGCTCATACTAAGTACCAGGCAATATTGCTCTATGATTACATGTCAGAGATTTAGGGTCTACGGTAGGTAATTACCAACTGGTTGTTCATCGACATGCATTTCGGGCTGAATTTTGAGCATTTCAGAAATTCTAGCTTCCCTCTTCCTTTGCCCAAATGCGAAGATGTCTTCACTATAATTGAGCAATCACAAACGGCCCCCTTGAATGTCTCAGAGCTCCCCGTTGAACACTCATGTGGAATAAGGAGTGACGGTGAGCTCACTGAAATGCACCCGACGCCAGGTGCATTCCACCTTCCACACCGCAGCAGCGTCCTGCAGGCCAGGGCTGGTGGGCGAAACTGTGGTGGGCGAAACTGTGGTGGGTGAAAATGCAGTGGGCTGGATAAAGGACTCCCACCCCAGATGGCCGCAGGTGTCCATTCAGGGGAGTGGAGAGAGAAGGGCTGTGGGCTTCCAGTCAAGCTTTACCCTCACTGAAAGTTCAGGTTCAGGGCCCAGTCCCCGAGCGTGAAAAGCGACCCTTATAGAAGAGGTAAAGGAACCTCCTTCAAATCCCCTGCACCCGTGCCCCTCCCTCAAAGAGAATCCTGGGAAATATTTAGCGATCTCCAGTGCCCTCTAGTGGCAGATACTTGTCATGCCAGGCACCAAAAGATGGTTAGTTTAATTTTTATTGTTTAAAAACATCACACAAGCTCATGCAGGTTTATACAGTAACAATCTCAAGCTTTCCTGCATTTCCTTTTATCATCCCAATCTTATTACACCCGAGAGAACATTTTCATTCCTTTCCTATGCATTTACACATGATATATATGTATATTATATATTCGTTTCTATATGTTACACAGAGATGTAGACATGTAGAAACATATATGTGCACATATGCTTAGGTACTTATACATAAGCATAAAATATATTTTGTATGGCATATATGTATATCTATTTTATATTTACAAGTGTAAAAAATTTAAAACTTTATATAAATATATAAAAATATAATACATTTAATTATATACTTTATACAATATGTTTATATAAAGTTTACGCTTATATTGATAATATATTTTTATGTACTATATAAAGTCTGAAAATATATTGTATAAGGTTTATTTTTATTTTTATTTATTTATTTTGAGACACTTTCTGTTGCCCAGGCTGGAGTGCAATGGCACAGTTCACTGAAGCCCTGAACTCCGGGGCTCGAGGGATCCTCCCACCTCAGCCTCCAAAGTGGCTAGGACTACAGGTGCAAGTTGCGAACTCTGGGGCTCGAGGGATCCTCCCACCTCAGCCTCCAAAGTGGCTAGGACTACAGGTGCAAGTTGCCATGCCTGGCTAATTTTTTGTAGAGACAGGGTCTCCCTGTGATGCTCAGGCTAGTCTTGAACTACTGGGTTCAAGCAATCCTCCCGTCTTGGCCTCCCAAAGTGCTGGAATTACAGGTGTGAGCCACACACCCAGCCTGAGGTTTTTAAACAGCAGTGATCTGACTGTTTCACTGCTGCATGGTGTTGTGCAGCGTGGAAATAACCTGACTGGTTTGCTTTTTCTCTCCTACAGATGGACATTTAAATGGCTTTCATTTATCTTCCATTACAAGAATACTTTGTAAATCGATGTGAATTTTTCTATAAGAAACACTTCTAGCTTTTCATTTAAGTCAGAGACTCAAATCTGAAATGCAAAAGCTTGTAAAACTCTGAGGTGTTAGAAATCATCCTGCCCAAGGAGTGAAGTGAAGGGAAGTTTCATAAACTTGGAACGGAAGGAAAAGGCTGGACAGGAGTGGGATGGCGTGGCTGAGAGGGAGATAGGAGGCTGGGTATGGCTGAGGGGTGGGAAGTGTGGGATGGCATGGCTGAGAGGGAGATAGGAGGCTGGGTGTGGGTGAGGGGTGGGAAGTGTGGGATGGCGTGGCTGAGAGGGAGATAGGAGGCTGGGTATGGCTGAGGGGTGGGAAGTGTGGGATGGCGTGGCTGAGAGGGAGAGAGGAGGCTGGGTGTGGGTGAGGGGTGGGAAGTGTGGGATGGCGTGGCTGAAAGGGAGAGAGGAGGCTGGATATGGGTGAGGGGTGGGAAGTGGGAGCATTGTTTTCACCTAAAGCTGTATTCAGGCCCTGAGGTTTTTGTTTTTATGTTTATTTAGAAAATAGATAAAACTTTAATCTGATTCAAAATTCAGCAACAGAAAGGTGTTAGATCTCATTTTCCTCATCCTTCTGTCTTCCAGCCACATCATTCTCCTCCACAGAGCCAACCAAAGTAATCGGTGTCTTCTGCATCCTTCCAGAGATAGTTCATGCATAAGCAAAAAAACAAAAAACAAAACAACAACAACAAAAAACTTTCTCTTTCTTGTTTTCCCTTCAAAAACCACCAATAATTGTACCTGATATACATAGTCTGCCCCCTTTTCTCATTAAATAATGGGAGATTATGTCATTACGAAGAATCAGATTTCTTCATTCCCTTTGCCTGACATTCCGTTATGTGGACGAGCTGTTATTTATTTAACCAGTCCCCATCTGAAGGACACCTTGGTTGGTTCCAATCTTTTCTATGACAACAGTGCCACAATGAGTAGCCTTGTACAACTGTCATTATGTGCATGTGTGGGGACACATGTAGGATATAGTCCTGGTAGTGGAATTCCTGGCTCAGAGTGTTTTTTGAAAAGAACTGCAAGTCGCCGTCTGTGGAAGCCTTGCCAGTTTGTACACTTGTGTGATTCGCTTCACCTCTACCAGCACTGGAGTCATTGAGTGTTATGTTATTTGTCAACTGGATAAGTGAAAAATGGTATCTCAGGGCGCGTTATGGGACATGTTAAAGTACGAGTGCAGTCAAGTATCTTTTCAAACACTGATGAGTTTTAGTGCCTTTCTTTAGAGGAATCTTGGGTGCTGGTCTTACTGACTTAGAGCCTCTTCCTCAATCTGCATTACCTTAGCTGGCCCCAGTGCACTTTAGGGCATTACATGGATTTGGGTTTTTTTTTTTCATCCTGCTCTCCTTCCTTTGGGAGTGGCCTCCGAGGCTGACATCTTCCCATTCCCCTTGCTTCCCTCCTGTCTCTGTCTCAGCCACGCCATCCCACTCCTGTCCACAAGCCGGGTGCACAAGCCATTCCAGAGGGACTTTACCTCACTGGAATGAACGTGGCAAGGGGCCTGGGTGTTGTGCTCCTCCCTCCATGGGCTCTGGTGCTCTGGCTCCCGGTTTATGACCCATGATCCTCTCTCGTTCCATGTGCGTGACCTCTCCGTCCGATAGCACAAGCAATTTTCAAACAGCCACTCCAGCTGGATGCCCCCAGGCAAGCCCTGCACTTTCCCAGCTTTACATCCTGGCCTGTGCTGCCCCCTCCATGTGTGATGCCCTCCTTGAGTCTGGCATGGGTGCATGGCTGCCTGCTCCAGCAGGTCAACTCTCGGGCACATGAACTTACCCTACACACGCTCTTGTGGCACCAGCCGTCTTCGTAGCTGGTGGCCACACCAGGAAACATTT